CGCGAATGTTTGCTGTAGGCTGTTTGCTAGAATTATATTAAGGTCATGCTCCTCAATTTAAGCGTCTTCGCCTTGGAGGTATTCGTCTCAACGAGTCAGAACTCACTGCTCACCATTCCACTGGATGTGTGGACTGAGATCCCTATCCTAAAATCCGATTTTCTTTGGGCTTCTGCAACGTGCCCTGCCTGCAAGTCCGCTGAGACTAATGATGCCGAGGATAGTCAAAAAGCTATGAGCTTGCTGCGGAATCTTCTGCTCCACGTAATTAATCATGAGGGCAAGTGCTTAGACGTCTGCCAAAGGGCATCAACACAGGAGTTCAGACTATTGGCTGGGATGTTTGAACGCGTTGTGTTGCCTTACCGTCCAGAACCAGCGGCCTGAATATTCAGTTGGACAGCACGCACCTGTTTTATGTCCATCATAGGAGTTGTGAACGATTTCTTGAAAATGAATGATCCCTCGATCATTTAAGATGGACTGCATGTTAAACTTCCGGAAGATTTATCACCCAAATTTTGATTGTATATAGTTTTCATCGCCTGCCGACTACCAAGGTCACCGAAAAGTGTGAAAAACCGACATACTGGACGTTGCGTTCTTGGCGTTGAGATTAAATCCGTCCGTCCGATTGCCCTCATCGTGCATTTACTTTGGACTGCCCTGAACCGCCGCACTGCGGTGCATCTCAAAACATAGCCTACGATCGATTGGAAGGCTCCAGCCAGTAGGGGCGGTGAACCCCATTGCCCTGTACTCAGCTATTGGCTCTTATCTTACAGACGCAGATCTCTTGATTTGTCTGATCCTTCAGTGGCCATGCCGGCTCCTGCCTAAGTCTTCTATTCCCTCTGAAAGAGAACGCTTATGCTCTGGTCCTCTTCTTTGTTGTCGTCGCAGACGGCCCCATGATGGTTACGAGTTTGGACTATGGTGCAGCGAAGAAGAGCTTAAAAGATCAGCTCAACTTGGGGGCAGAATGGGCCACCGCTGACGTGATTAGGACTTTCGGGTAGGGGTTTTTCCATGTGTTCTTTGGTTTTGTTAGTTAACTGTAGGTAACGGCAATGTTTCGCAAATTTTCGTTTTCTGGTTCAGTTATGTTTTATTTTTCTCTCTTAAGGTGTTGGATTGCGTTTTTGACATAAGTCTTTCCGGTTATATGTATCTAACGTCTCATTTTTCATAGGTCGACGAAACCAAAGCAGAGACAGCGACACAACTCCAACAACAAGCCCAGGTTTCTTCCTTCGAAAATGCTCGGTAGGCAAAAACTATTTATCATCAGTATTGAGGGCAGTTTCATCATATTCATTACTAAAAGTAACCTGTGCCTATGTCCACCGCCCAAAGGGTCACTGATCTCTAGCCCATAACTTATCTAACATGTTAGTTAATAATTCAAGGGCACGTTACTGTTGTTCATTTGGCGCATGTTGTCCCTGCTTTTAGTTTGATCTCGACGCAAATTAATGTCGCTTACAACAAAGTAAAAGGGACCATCATCCAATAAATCGGGGTCAAAATGGGTTCCTGAAATACAGCAGCTCGTGGAATGTTAGAAAATTACTTTTAAGCCCATCTCAAAATGCTTTTAAATGAAGGTTGCCTCGCTTATTCTTTCGGGGCATTGTACGTTTTCATAAAAAGGAAACTATTAGAACACTTAGCAGGACAGATCGAAGATCGTGACTGGAAAACTGGAGTGCTTGTCTTTCCGTCTGTCTTTCCTTATCGTCTTTCTTTATTTATAGAATTAGTTGCGATAATAATGCACTTAAAGTGTGCGATACTGCCCCATTATTTGCTCTAAGTAGCACACGGGTGTCGCATTTCAAGCTATTTGTCAACCACTCTCACTTTCTGACAAGGCATTTACGAACTTGGGCGAAATGTACGCTCAGAAAAATACCTGTACAATGCTTACTCTCGAAACTTGTCCAAAATATCTACGGCGTCTAAATTGTTAGGACATCAGAAAATCCTATCACTCAAAGACACAATAAATGGTTTGTTTGTCTGATAGACAACTGGAATATTATATGCAAAGGAGAGGTAGGGGTGATTAATTAATATTGGGAGCTAATAAGGCACTCCATGTGTTACCATCATCTCTCTGCCTTGGCCGAGTTGCCAACAGTAAAGTCGATATTCACAGGGCAAAGATTGAGTCGTTGCCGGGAATCCACCAAAGGCTTAGCGCTTAGATTTTCGCCTTACAGCGCCTCCTCCATGTAAATTTCCATTTCGTTCAAATATTTAGCCTACGAAACAAAACAAGGGATGAAAATTAATAGAAAGTGTGTACTGAAGCTGGCAAAGTTTCGTGATCTGGAAAGATAATTTCAAAAATGGGAAATGGCTTTCAAAGCATGTTTATTCCACTTTTGGCGTTTCGGCGAGCTCGATCGCTTCACCATTGCCAAAGCGTTACGTGCACAAAATATGGAACATAACGCATGTCTTTGTTGCCCATCATTGTCACTTCTCCGCTAGTACTCTACGTTTTTTTTTCTTTTTTCCCTTGCAGACTGCTGAATCCCTTACCTGAAGGCGCAAACGGTACGATATTAATTTTGAGTAATGTACCACGTTACTGTTAGTTTTTAAGCCATTATTCTCCATAAATTCAACTACTAGATTGGGTAATTCATTTTGTAGCATACACTTAAACGATCGTGATATTTGTGCGGAGAAGTTTTCCCTAACTTATCTTCTGTGCATGTACAACTTAACTTCTTAGTTGATCCGTTCTTGTTCGAAAGCCCTATCGAAAAAGACCAGACCAAGTAGAAAAAGCATTGCATCCTTGATTATCACAGTCAGCCCTCTTAACAAAACCATAGGCGGGCAATGCTGAACATTTGAACCAAGCTTTAATTGCTCCTTCCAGGAGACTTTCCACTAGCTAAATCGCAGGCGCAAGGCCTACTGGCAGAGGTTAGGGTATTTTAGATAACACGAGGGGCACATTTTAGGTATTTTTCCTTTGCCATTCTGGATATTATGGGCTGAAATTCATACTTAAATCTCAGAGTGGGCACAAAGTCGTCATTTGTGGAGGAGCGGCAGTGAAAGTGAAAGAAGTCCTGACTCACGTTTGCTTTATAAGTGCTTGAATTCTACGTTTTTCTGAAGCTTGCTCTAATACCTTCTATTAGAGTATTATTTGATGTGAAGCAAATGCTCACTTTACAATGAATAAGCTCTCTGACTTTTTGTGAAATGTTCTCGATTGTTTTTTTCTAGTTTATGAAATCGAAACGGATCTGGTAACCCAGACGACTATTGATAGTCCTGTTTAATATATATATATATATATATATATATAATGATACCTGCTAAATAAACCCGTTCAACGGTTTGGTTGCGTGGATTTCCATAGACAACAATTTTAAAAAACTTGTTGAATCCGTGAATATTTTACATGGGAATGGTTCACTTACAAAAGCCTGCACAAGCTGAAGCTTGTGGCGGATTAGTGCCAAGCATTTCCCTAATGACGCGCCAAAGAGTTACCTTGGGGAT